GGTTGAATAGGATTAGCTTTTTCTCTTCTTTTGGTTCGGAAGTCAAGGTGTGCCCAATCCAACTAACTGCATTTGAGATCAATTTTTTTTTATTCAATTAAAGGCAGACCATTTGTGTTAAGATTAAAGAATTTATAACTTATAAAAAATTATCTCCTTATTTATTTTTTCAAAAAATTAAACCTTAATTAACGAAATAAAAAATCAATATTTTTATTAACTAAACCACGACTTCTTAAGATGTATGGGATATTGAGATGACTAAATAGATAAAAAAAAAAATTACATCTAATTATACAACCTAAGACAAAATTTCAAAAATAACAATAATAAACCAGGAAAGGTAGCTGGATTCAATCTTACCGTGCATGCTTGGCACACAACCACAAAGCAAACATGAAACCCGAGAGCCGACTTGGCTTTTACCACCTCTCCTGACACTTCTGCAACTACACTCGCCACGTTTATCTCCCCTAACCTTGAAAAGTACCGTTTCATGGGCCTTTATATTTATTATTTATTATCACTCATTTATTTCTTTTCTTCTTCTTCTTCGTCTTCTTCTTCTGCCCTCTCCTCTGCATATATGAAGGAGCTCTGCGCCCTCTTTCCTCATCTCATTAAGATGGAAAGCCCTTCACCCTCTGCCAAAGTACTGGAGAAGCAACAATCTATAAAGAACGAGCCCAGAACTCTGTTTGAAGAAGAAATGGAGTTAGCCAGAGTGTGTAACACAATCGATCGAGCTATTAATTTATTAATTAATTAGTAGATTATATATATATATGTACAATGATTGGTACACTTAATATTTTAATATTTGGTTCAACACCTTTCGATTTAATCATTAAAAAATTTATGTTTTTTTAATCTGAAATTAAAAATAAACAAGTATAATGATACAATTATATACACAAGGTATAAGAGCTGACTAAGAGTCGACTGAATTAATTATATTTATATTATATTTTTTATGATTAAACCAAAAAGTGTTGAATCAGATATTAAAATATTAGGTGTATCAATCATTTTCCTATATATATATATACATACACATTTCTTAGCATGTTGTTGAAAATGAAGCTTATAATCTGTATATATTTGGTTTTTGGGAACAGGAAGCTGCTCTGGAAGTGATCAATAATACCCGAAAACAAGCACTCAAGATATTTTTGGAGGTAATTTTCCTATCTTCAATTTTACTATTATAAAGTTTAAAATTTTTAATTTTCAAGCTTGTCAAGTGTTATTATCAAATTCTACAAGTTTGTGGTCTTAGTTTTAGAAAAGAAAAGAATTTCTTGTTTTATAGTTGAATCGTAAAACGTGAACAATTGAACTTGATACAATTTTTGATATTAAAAAACTTATTTTTTGTTTAATAATTTAAATTATAACATCTAGTTATATGACATTTTTTTTAAAGAGAAATTAAAAACATTTAAAAAAAATTGTATTTGAACTTTTTAGCATAAATGAAAATTTTCTTAGAAAGTGGACGAAACAAATACATAATTTCCTTAAAAGAAGCTCGATTATATCTTGGTCTGCCTGTTACTCATCACCTTGAAGAAATTTTGATGGTTGTATGGATTGGAGCTGATAAAGATCAGTCCACTGATGCCAAAATGGGAATTATTGGAATTTGGGGAAGTGAACCAAGAATTCTGCTAGCTGAATGATGGAGGATCGGACTCCTTAATGTTTTTGTTTTCCTAGTAGTACTTGGTGTTTGTATCAATTATATATGACTACTGCTGATACCTGTGGCTTTATATTTATATGTTTTGGGTAGATGGATCATAGTTCCCATCATACTTCATTACCTTTTATTGCCATCCCTCATCACAATGTGCCATGAAGAGAGCCTCACATTAATGTTGTTCTTGGAGTTCCTGTGGTGCTCATTAGATTGGTAATTGGTCTATCACATTTTTATTACTTAGATGATTCAATGAAAAGTAACCTTTTTTTTTTTCTCTTGATTACTTTAATTTTATTTATATGTAATATGACTTAAAATCAAAATCTTCTTTCTAAAATGAAATTATGATATTGACCGATTTAAGTCATGGGCACCTTTTTTTTTTTTTTTTTTTTTTTTTTAACTCTCTTGATCATTGAAACAAGGATATGATTATTAGAAATTTACCATTTTTGTGGGTTTCCATTTAATTAATACTTGGTATTAATAAAACAGGCCCATAAATTTGATGCATTGTGGGACATGCTTTCAAGTCCAATATGTTTTAATATGGGCTATTACATGTGGAGTATAGGCCCAAGCTGATTTTAAACTTTAAAATAAGATTACTCTTCGATTACAAGGAGACAAAGATCTAGCTCATACATGTGGTTAGGAGTTCCTTCGACTTTCCAAGTTAAAAGATTGTCCCTACATGAGGAGGTTTTTGGACACCCTAATTTCTCCCTCAAAAGGGTAAAAATCATGAGGTGTTAACATTTGAAATATTGACATTGTTAGTAGAATTATTCAAATATTTTTAATAAATATTTTTTATATTATTCTCAACATTTCAATTACAAAAATGTTATCATTCTTTTCAATCCCTTTGTCATAATGATAGTATTAAACTTTTAGAACACATATGAGATCTTTTGATTCTTTTCTTAATAAATCTAGCTTATCCCTATTTACTAACATAATTGGATTGGGTGGTAAATCAGTTAATATCAATCCATCATGACATCCCACCAGACACCACAAATTTGATAGCCAAAATGCTTCCATTTTGATTCTCCTGTCCCCTCTCCGACCAGGACAACTCCATGGTCCTCCTCCGTCCATGATGCTCAAAGCCCTTTCCCTAGTTTTATTGTCGTTCCTCGTAAACTAAATAAAAAATAAAGTAGATAAAAGATTAGTCAAACAATTAATTAAAGATGAAAAGTAGAATAATGTCATCGAAAATATGAGAAGCTTGACCTGAGGCATGGATCAATCACTCTTTTCAAGACATTTCTTGCCATTGGTATAATAGTTTTATTTTTTTTTTATGGTTACACCACCCTTAGGATATAATAACCCAACCTTTTCTCGTTGTATCTTTACAATTACTGCACTCTCGTAAAGAAAGCTCTACCCCACCACCTTCTTCTTGCCCAAAGAGAGTTTGTATACAATGTTTGTGAAATAAAAGTGCAGATTACGGAAAATTGTATTAGCCTTTGGTAGAAATGGAGGTTGCCTTTTTATAGGCCTTCCCAATTTGTAACTAAAGTGGAAAACCAGTTAAAAATTTGAAAGAAATTTGTTGGTTACAAGGACCATATTTGAAACTGATGAAATTGTATACAATAATGAAAAATTTTCGATAAACTGATGCAAGTTTTAACAAATTTGTCAATTACCATTTAATTAAAATATAAACGTATGGATTCTTTCTTGAAAACTAAAAATGCATGGATTTGTAATTGATGAGTTATCACACAAATTTAATTTTTGAAAACCAATAGATTTGTAATCGACTGGCATAACCAATTTTTAATTAAAATCTATAACATTCCCCCTCCATTTTAATTAAAAATAAAAGAAATTTAAAAGATGAAAAATATATAGGCCATAATGGATTACTATGCATAATAAAGGTAGCAATGCCTTGAACCTCTACTTAGTGAGTCAATGATTTCTATCCCAAAGTCACTAGTGAGCAAAGTCTTGAACTAGGACTACTTAAAGGATATAGGAGACCATATATCACACATATTATAATCCAGGTGTTAATTTGAGTTTGGTAAGCTGGCACATTACAACCTTTGTGCCTAATCCTAGTATTCATAGATGATCTAGAGAATAATCCTATTCTTATAGGAGTGGCCCTACTTCGACATCCATATGGGTGAAATTTGTTAAGGTGCTCCCATAACTATGACACCCCACTCAATGAACTACAAATTTCACTAAGAGTGTATAACACTCAACCCTCACATTCGTTATGGGATAGATGCATCTAAACCTTAGGAATGTGATAAGATTTTTTTTTTTTTATGCATCTTTCAATAATGGCCTCTCTATGATTCATTTTTCCCATTCAAAACCCAAATTCTCAAGATTTTTGATCATTGGGTTGGGTGTCCTCATAGGAAGTTCCACATTCTTTGGGCTTCAATCCCATTCCCCTCGATGTAATCCATATCTTCTCTTTGGCCAAAGTTTGGGTAAATGTATCAGCAATATTTTCACTTGATTCTATACAATTCACGTGGATTGTCCCATTATTCAAGTATGACCTCACAATGCTATGTTTCCTTTGAATAGATCTGGATTTCCCGTTATAAAAATGGTTACACTCTTTGTAAATGGAAACAGTACTATCACAGTAAATGAGTATAGGAGGCACTGGTTTTTCCCATAGAGGAATTTCAAACAACAAATCTCTTAGCCAACTAGCTTTTTCGGAAGTTAGTGCCAATGATATCATCTCTATCTCCATAGTTGACTTTGCAATTATTTGTTATTTTTTAGATTTCCAACTCACAGCACCACTACCAATCTTAAAAATATACCCTGAAATAGACAAAGAATCACCTACCAAGGTGTTCCAATCAACATCACAAATCCTTCAAGTATAGTAGGGTATTTTTGATAAAACAAACCATAATTTTTGGTAACGCATAAATTTCCCATTAAGTGTTGAACACAATTCTAATAAAAGGAATTAGGCTTGCTAGTAAATCTCCCTAGAATTCCAACTGCATAAAAAATATCGGGTGTTGTGCAATCAGTAAGATATTATAAACTGCCAATGATACTAGCATATTTCTTTCGATTGAGAATATCTTTATCATGCAAAGTGGAATATAAATGCACACTGGGTGATAAAGGCATCATAACATGTCTAGAATTATGATAGTTATATTTCTTCCAAAATTTTTTCTATATAATGGCACTGATCAAGAAAGATTCCATCATAATTTCTAGTTATTTTCATGCCAAGAATCACATTAGCCTCACCAAATCCTTCATGTCAAAATGCTTATTTAACAACGACTTAATAGTGTTAATCACCTCTAAACTTGAACAAAAAAGCAAGAGATCATCAACATAC